TTTATTGCATGTACTGACTAAACATATTACTTTTATTGTATGTACTGGCTGAACATATTACTTTTATGCATGTACTGACTAAACATATTACTTTTATGACATGTATTGACTGAGTATATTACTTTTATTGCATGTACTGTCTGAACATATCACTTTGATTGCATGTATTGACTGAACATATTACTTTTATTGCATGTACTGACTGAACATATTACTTTTATTGCATGTACTGACTGAACATATTATTTATTGCATTTATTGACTGAACATATCACTTTCATTGCATGTACTGACTGAACATATTACTTTCATTGCATGTACCAACTGAACATATTACTTTTATTGCATGTATTGACTGAACATATTACTTTCATTGCATGTACTGACTGAACATATTACTTTCATTGCATGTACCAACTGAACAAATTACTTTTATTGCATGTACTGACTGGATATATTACTTTTATTGCATGTACTGACTAAACATATTATTTGTATTGCATGTACTGACTGAATATATTACTTTTATGACATGTATTGACTGAACATATTACTTTGATTGCATGTATTGACTGAGTATACTACTTTTATTGTATGTACTGACTGAACGTATTATTTGTATTGCATGTACTGACTGAACATATTACTTTTATTGCATGTACTGACTGGACATATTACTTTTATTACACGTGACAGAATATATTACTTTTATTGCATGTACTGACTGAACATATTACCTTTATTGCATGTACGGACTGAACATATAACTTTTTTTACATGTATTGACTGAGTATATTACTTTTATTGCATGTACTGACTGAACATATTACTTTTATTTCGTGTACTGACTGAGCATATTACCCGATGTACTGACAGAATGAAAACGGATATATGACGCGTAACCCGTCACCTTATCCCCAAACCACCACAATGCTAACCCAAAAAATTATCATCATAACCCAAAACACAATCACCGTTATTCATCACATCTCATGTCAACTTTTGTTATTGGTGACAATTCAGTGTCATTCGCTTTTTAATTTTTTGCTCTGGTCTTTTCGGCAGCACATTCCGTGGACCAGGTAACACATCTTCGTAATGACGTAACCTATCACCAAGACAACAACCAATAGAAGGCAGCTATATCGAGTAAATAATATTGATACCACGTGAGGTTGGGTACTTGTGATATAAGGTGATCTGTACCATGTTTTAATACGTAGTTTATCCAGTATACAACGGATTCTTCGGCAGTCATCAGCTTATCATGGGAAATGGCTGATAACTTCTGAGCTCTTCTTTTGTAGCTGAAATGTAATGATGACAAGTTATCAAGCTAAGTTGTCACGTGACTTCAAGTTCACTAGTGCGGTGGATGTCGGGTTTAAAATAGGTTGACACTAGTAAAAGAAACCTGAGAGAAATATTTACATGTAATATGATTACGATGCGTAAGTGGAACTATCAACAGCAGTTTTTAAAAAAAGTAACGAAATTGTTTTCCAAAAAACTATTGATGATAATGTCACGAAATGAAGAAATGCGAGAACCAACCATTATCGGTTGCCAAAGGCTTAAAATGCACATAACTAAAATAACCAATGTGCAAATGTTTTGCATTTTGAGAATATTGTACACAATCATCGTGTGTCAGATTTTCACATGATGTACAACAAGGAAAAAACTATAAATTGCTGTTTTGCCAATATTAACACATTTTAACTGGCTGGTGGGAACTTGAGTAATCAACGTATGAAAAACGAGGCCGTTCTTTGAACAGTCTACCAGTCCACAAGAGAACGACAGAATCGGAGACGCCATTTACTTTTATAGAATGCCCTACCTTCGGGTGACAGTCTCAAGTGGAAAGACCGTTGTATATATGAAACGGTCATTTAGTATATATATATGGTCATATAGATTAATGCAAAAAGTTCAAGAATCGAATATATCTGAACTGTTATCATAGCGTTATGTAACCTCAAAAAATGGTATTGTAGCGATTCGGTCTGTTCTGGCCGGTCATCCGAAAACTTTTCAGTGGTGGGTCATTAAAGTCGGGTCAGCAAAACATAAGTGTGCAATGATTTGATCGTCAAGAAAAAAATGCACAAAGGGAGTATTCATCATATCTGAGCCATGCAGAATGCAAAAATACAACAAATAAACGTATTCATTATTGGGGATATAAAATTGTTTGTGATATTAAGTATTCATTATGATTAAGCAAGTCATACATTGGCTTTAATATGAGTGAGGACATTCAATATATTTATTATAAAGTGAACAAACAGAAATTTCAGAATGGTTGACTCGAAATGCTTAACATTCGTCTATAATGCGCGGACATGCCTTCCATGTGATATAGCAAATGTGACCACCCCGTGAAGAAGATTGAGTGGTCCTCTTTTGAAATAACTAAAATAAATATTATTTAAAATTTTATATAAAGAAATTTTCATAACTTCCTCGATTTCTGTCCGTCAGAAAAATCAATATAAAGGTGTTCATTATAACAAGATTAAAGCGCTTCCTTTTTTTGTTTACTTCTTCATTTGTTGTTTGCCCGTGTTTTCTATCCCTATTCTACGACTACGAAAATGTAAGTAGCTATTATAGATAACGTTGTTCTCACCTTTTGTCCATTATAACATTGTCCATTATATTAAACAAACTCTGTGACGTCATTGTTTGAAGACGCATTGCCTGTCCTATGCCTCTGTCCACTATTTTAGCTGCACTATCAAAGTGATGACCTTCTTGAGGTAAACATACCATGGGTACAGCGTGGTATACACCTTCGTATACACCAGTTGAACCGCCATGCGTCACAAAGAGACGAGTTTTGGGGTGTGCTGTAAAAAAGGATTAAAGCACATTTACTAAATTATATAACAAGACTGCTCGACTGAATACAAAGCCATTGTTTACTTCTATAAGCATGGTAGACAAAAAGAGAATAAATTCGCACGCAATTGTGTAAATTAGAGAGACAGTTGCAGAATGCATAATTCTTTATACACAATCGCTTTCTTTGTGGTTCGATCTTGGTTCGATTCGGACACAACATTCCCACTGTGAATGCACTATATAATTTGGACTTGCGCTGTGGCTGTATATAAAGCCTTCTCTAATTGGTTAATAGTCTGATTTTAATCAAAATGCATATACATTATATTTTAAAATGTAGAAAATGTAGGGAACAAAACACTTTGTCGTGTACTGTTGCTTAGAACATATCGACATAGACAGTTTATATAACTATTATAAACAAACACAATCTGAGCTTCATCTAAATTACCTAATAAATCATTTTGAGGAATCCATTGCATTATCTTTGTATTCTGTCCTAAATTATCAGGTCTATGTCCGTTATACTTCCACACTACCCGTTGTGACAAACGAGATATTGCATCTGCTATTATACGGGTAATACTCGTATCCATATCTTGCGACCCCATGGAAATTACTACAATGCCATGTTCTTGGGATCCTTCAATCCAGTTATCTAGATCCTGTTAATTGGAAACAGTTTCGTGATATCTACTCATACTGCAATGTATAGTTTTTGTTATAATGTCAATATGGACAGACACGATTATAACACAATGAGTCAGCTGATTACGAGAAATGACAAAACAAATACAATTTCTATAAAAGTGAACAGTCAGGTTTTAACATTTACAAAATTCAATAAAGCCATTACATAAATTATTTAAAATCATTGAACTAAATAAAGGGATCTAATTTTTGTTGTTTGTGTTATGTAAACTTATTATGCCTTCAAGATTTCAATAAGTGTCTTTTAAGAATCGCTTTTGCCGTATTGACCAATTGTATGGTATCTGTTTATCATTGCTAAAATAGTAAGAAAGTTGAGGCGTGTACTGAAGATTCGAGTGGTGCAATATTCATCAAGCATATTTATGTGTAAGGATATATTTATATTTATAAATGACATGTTGATATTCGTAAATCCCCGTTTGTATTTGCAATATCTCGAAGTGTATTCGTGAAACCATCATTTCTATTCGTCATTAAGCATGTTTATTTATATTTGTAAAATCAACATTTATTTTGGCGATAAAAACATTTTTATTTCATAAAACCTTCATTTGTGTTCGCAAAGCAACTTGCGACTTGTGAGCTCAGAGGGCGCTACTCTTGCATATACGAAGGTCGTTGGTGGGTATTCAACATAATAATTATGGTTATTCTTATAAAAATAGCATTATAATCTTTACCCTTCCCAATAGAAAGGCAGGCTCCGTCCCTGACAGTCTGTGTCAATATTTGATATTTACTTTTAAGTAACTTCTTCAATTAAAGTGCTTAGAACAGACGTGTAATTGGTAGTTATCAGTTATCTGGTTTATGTAAATAACATTTGAACCAGCATATCCTGGCATGATTACTATAATCAGCGAAGATCAAATAGGTAAGGTCACTAACGTTACTATGGTGAAGTTGATCTGATGGATTCAGATAATGGATGCAGGTAGAGTGAGTATACGAATTAGAGAATAAGGGGATTAAACAAATATCACTTAATAGCGTACACACTTGTAGAGCACCAACGTTACCATTGTGAATTAGAACCGTACGTTAGAAGAGTAGATTGTAAAGACGTTTGTTTTCCAGACGTTGTTTTCCAGCTCCATGTTGACAAAACATTGGTGTTTGGCCGAAATTATTTAACTGAGTAATAGTGGATCGTATGTGAGGTTTATTACGTTTGAAAGTATTTTAACTGCCATTTACGTTTTATTTTTTTAATTGCCGTTCATTAATATATTTTCCTTTATTTATTTATATTACCATTTACCTATTTTTATCTGACATGTCCCTTTATTTATTACATTGCAATTCCCGTTGCGTCTGTTTTCATTTTTATTGTCTTTCATTACTATTTCTATTACATTTCTGTTATTATTCCCTTTATAATATATATATATAATTCAATTTTTTGTTTTTCAATTTCATATTGGTTTTGTTATAAATCCCATGATAAGGTTTTACTTCTATAGTTTATATGCTTCAATTCTGAAAAACTCGCATTTGTTCCCTTTTGTTTATTAAGTCTGTATCCTTCACCAACGCATTATACACTCCCCAAATCTAAAAATTGATACAAATTATTTTGGTAGTTGTCGGCTTAAATAGCATAAAAACCCGGGCGTAAAATAAACATATAGGCTCTCTCTCTATTTTTATTTTTCGACGGGTTTCTATAGTCGTATTTTACAAATACAAAGTTGAATGGAGAGTTAACGAATACAAATTAATAGTTTACAAATACAAATCGAGGTTTAACGATGATAAATACGTAGGTAATACACGTAAATATTTTAGTGAATTTTGCAACAGTCGGCCTTACATGTGCGTGTCCATAGCTGTGGATTTTTGTCGACGGCTTTGTCATAAAGTCGTATGTCATTTCCCGATACTGTATTGCATTTATTAAATTTATTAAATTCAACGAACACCAATTATCGCTCTGTTCATTGCTTTAAAAGACCTACTCAAATTCACGTCACATTTTCCAATTACAAATTAGAGCTGATTCGTTGAGAAAACGTTAGGAAACCTCAACGTGAAAGCAGCCATGTTTTGACCGACAAATGCGCGAATCTGATTGGCTGATATACATATACAAGGTATAGTATTTATTATTTCCTGTATTATGAATTTACAGACTTAAATACCTTTGACAATGGCTTGACTTTTTCCGCTGAAAATGCACCAATTGGGATCACATGCGGCATCAATGGTCGAGGAAACTCAAGAGAAAAGTCAGCAGCCCATAACCAAAGTCTTGCTTTTGATTGGATATCTTGAACGCTCAATTCTGTGCTTATATTATGTTTTCTCTGAATTTCGTGATAAGGTGCAAACTTTATAAACTCCCGTATGATATTACCAACCCAGTAGTTAACAACATTGCGAACACGCTGAGTGAAAGTCATTTTATCAGTAAAGCCCGATGCGAACAGCGGAACATATGCTAGTGGAAGTGGAGCGTGCCATTGCGTTTCCTCTGCATTTGTCGTTGCAAAACTCACATATGGAACCTTAAAATATTCGGTGAAAAGCATCCCACAGTGAGCGGAACTATCAACTATGGCTAGATCAAATTGCTGCTCACTTCGTGGGTCGCCCCATTCATCGTAGTTGCTAAACATCTTGTCACACACGTCCGCTGAGGTCACTGTAGAGAATAGTTTGTCGATTAATCGATTAGTATATGAGTCATAACCCGAGGCACGGCTTGTAGGTACTGTAATATTTCTTATTCTATATGGTGCTGTAGGTATCTGGGAGTGGTGAATCAGTGTGTCAGTCGATGGCAGCAACATAGTGACACTGTGTCCCCTCCTTTCCAATATTTCCGCTATCACACCTAGTCCAACATTGTGCTCATTGCCAAACACAGGAATGACTACAATTCTCGCTGAAAGTGCATTTTGAAAGAATAAAGTAATATAGACAAAAACACAGGAAACGAACAAACATTTTGCTGTGGACATCATGGTGGCAAAAAGAGAAGTGGGTATAGTCAATAACGAATTAGAATCCGATTTGTGTTCTATGTATAGTGTACACCCACATACATACGTGGCACATTTTAAACATATCCCAATAGTAGTGTACCGGTATAATCAGTTGCCTGGTCAATGCTGTTGAAACGGTAAAGCCATCATTCACGCAGAGAATAACAAACGCGAGATACAAGTATTTTCCAGTAGTTTTGACGAACAATTTATTCTTCACCTGGTGTAAGATATGCAACTAGGTCAGCATCACCTGTTTAGTCTAAAAACATGATTGCTCGATACAAGTGACCTACCCGCCAAATCCACAAAAACGAAGGTCGAGTGCAGTTTGTTCAACAATAGCACATATGGCGATGCAATCTAAGGCACAAATTAACGGAAAACACATTTGGTTTGTTATGAAAAATATCAAGAACGTGATTAATATGGATTCCTTGTCTGAACCGGCGAGCAAAGTTGGCATGTTGACTGAAATTGTAATAAACACATTTTGCTCACTATTTCAACTAGTTGGGGAGGATGACTCATAGAACCTTACAAGGTATAAGGTGTGTCAATTTATGACAATTATTGTGACATCACTGCTTGCAATTATTCAACATATAGGCAATTATTTAAGTCATTTAAGTGGGCTCTTAAATTATATCTGCAATATACTCTCACTGAGTTATAAAAAATGAAAGACGTATTGAGAATCCTAAAACTCCATTCGGAAGGAAATAATTAGACAGTCCTGGTTAAATAATTAAATAAAAGTCAGATTATTTGAAATACCAGTTAGAGAAAGAATGCAAATACAACAATAAAAGCGTCTGGAAGTACGTGAATAGTATGCGCAAGATTAGATCTGGCAATGTTGGCACAAGCACACAAAATGACAACAAAGTAGCCAATGTCCTCACGGCAGCGACCAGTGTTAATTAGTATTCAATTTTGGACAAAATACAAGACAACACAAGAAAGCCAAGGTTTACTGACAATTTGACATAAATTACTCAAGTAGAACTAAGTTGGCCATTTATTTATGCATTTTAAACTCACACATTGTTCTGCAAAGTTAACTGTTACGGTAATTCATATGCTTCTCAAGTGATTCAAATTAGTGTTGCAAATAAGTGGGGTCATGGTGGTTTGATGGTTTGCACAATGACAGTAGCTCAATCACTTTAAGTCAGCAGCAAGAAATGCAAATATTGTTTAGTTTATTCTGGGGTAACCCCATCTTTATGTAAATCCTTTACAGGTAAGAACTTAGCTTGCTTTTCTGCTATTTTGTTTTACTGCATTTATGAGATATATTTATGAGATGTCTGTCTGTCTGAATGTCTTACTTGAATAATGACAAAGACAACGCCTGCCTTCAAAGCTTGCAAAGTTACGTGCAAATTTGTTAATGTTCCGTGGAAAGTCTTTATTGCTAGTGTTGCCTGCAAATTTATTGAAGTTACGACGAAAGCCTGCAAAGTTGCGGGTAAAAAAAGTAAAGTTACGTGGAAATTCTGCAAAGTTGAAAGCAGAGTAGGTGAAGTTACGAAGAAATCCTGTAGATTTGTCTGCAAAGTGGCGGGAAAACCTACAATATACACATTACATTTACGTGGGAATTATGTATTGTTACTGGACAAGTCCGCATTGTATTGCGATGGGAAGGTCTGCAAAGTTGGTTGCAAAGTAGGTGAATTTACGAAGAAAGCCTGCAGTGTTGTGTGTATAGTTGTAGAGTTACACGGAAATCTTGGAAAAGGTGCTTGCAAACTTGTAAAATATCCGTGGAAAGTCGGGAAAGTCTGCAAAGTTCTTTTTTTTAATATTTATTTAATTTTATGTATATAACATACATGGACAAACATTACAGAAGGCTTAATCTCAAGATATGATTTCAAAAGAAACTGTGTGTGGTAAGATCTAGCTAGATAGAAAATGAATACATAAATAGATAAATACTGACTATTTTAATTTCAATTTTAATAAGCCTGAGTTATAGTATATCCTGTATGATTAACCACTTTTTGTTATGTACCTCGAGTTTACTATTCTTCGTTGCAATATATCCCTCAATCTCTTTTATATCTTTGACCATGGTTATGTAAATATTAAAATTTGGAATGATTAGTTTGCATTTATACAAGTGTATTTTACCAAGAATGAGAAGATGATTTGTGAGTTGGGACAATTCCGTTGAACCGAGTAATATATCATGAACACTCGCGAAACCATCTGTTGGAATGCATTCTGGGAACCATCTCGAGAATGTTGTCCAGAAATTACGGAATAAGATACAATGATAAAATAAATGATACATTGTTTCCTTTTCAGCTTTACAAAAAGTACACAAAGTGTTGTCATCCAGTGGAGAATTAAATTTAAAGAGATCTGAATTAAAGTACAATATTGTGTGTAATTTTAATATTGTTTTCAATATAAATACATGGTGAATGTTTCCTAGTGGCTGTATGTGTATGATTGTACTTCAGCCAGGGGGGGTAGAATGAATAATTCCCAGAACTCGAAAGTAATCAACACTTGATAAATTGTAAGCTTCCCGAAATACAGCTGCTGTTGATAAAAAAATCGTTGATATATGTGATGCCACCGTTGCTAATATAAAAATAATATACTGACTTATTTCCAACCAAGATGTTACGATTGTTCCAAATTATAAATCTAGATGGGTTATCTCCAGTCAGGTGTAGAAGTTTGCTCCATGCTGTAAGAGCTTCTTTGTGAAAAGTAGATAAATTGATAGGAAGCGATTCGATGCTGAAGTCACAGTTAAATAGAAATGAGCCGCCTACGGATTGTAGTCTATGTGTGAAGAAATCTTTCCATGGGTGATGAAATGTGGGGTTCAAATATTTCTTAATTGTTTGGATTCGAAATGAATCCTTCAAGACAAATACGTCTGGGATGTTAAGACCTCCATTCTTTATATCCGACAACATCGTGTTCCTTGCGATTTTATCTTTTCCACCCCATAAAAAATTAAAACAAAGTGTATTCACTTGAGAAAGAATTGTATCAGGTGTATTGGTTATGCGCATACGATATATTATTTTGGAGATTGCTAGTGATTTAACAATTTGAGATTTTCCAATGAGAGTAAGATTTCTTTGTTTCCAGAATTTAAAAGTGCATGCCAAATTTTCCAATGGTTTTGCATAATTTAATCTTGTTGCCAATGATGTTTTTAGTCCAGAGAGCCTTTCAAAGTTGTTCAGTAAAGTTAACACTTTGGACGCGGAATCCATATTAAGCAAGAAACACGTAAGATCGTCGGCGAACGCAACCCCTTTCACATCTATATTTGTATCTAACCGTATTCCTTCAACATCTGGATCTGACCTTATCAACAAAAGAAATATTTCCTGTGCAAGTATAAATAGTGTCGATGAAAGGGAATCCCTCTGTCTGACGTTCGATTGTAAAATATCCTGTTGTAAGTCCATTGTTTATAACTGTACATTTAATGTTACAATATAAAGCATCAAACCACCTTATTAAAGACGGTCCAAAACTGTACAGTTTAAGGCAGTGTAGAATGTAATCCCACTCCAGAGAATCGAAGACTTTTTCGAAATCTATCACCATCAAAATTTCTGATAACTTTTCTTCCTTAGTTGTCATGAGAATTTCCTCAATTAAACGAACACAGTCCGAAATATCTCTCCCTTTAACAAAAGCTGATTGGGTGTTGTGAATTAAAGAAGGCGCTTCGAAATACATTTAGAGGCTATCTTAGCATCCACATTAATTAGTGAAATTCATAAGTACCGAAGAATGCCTGCAAAATTGGTAAATTCGAGGATGAAGCCTGCAAATTGTAACTTTACGTATACGTAAACATTTTTATAATGTTACAGGACAAGTCGGCAAAGTTGGTAAATTTACCTGAAAAGCATGGACATTTCATGCAAACTTGTATTCGGAAAGTGTGTATTGCTATGAAGAAAACCTGTAAAGTTGCGTGCAAACTTGTTAATCATCCGTGGCAATCTATATTACTATATTACTACTATATATTACTGTCTGCAAAGTCGCATGCAAAGTTCGTGATGTTACTTAAAAAGCTTTAAAAGTTAGGAAGAAAGTTTGACGTAGGTAAAGTCTGAAAAGATGTATCAAAAGTTGTCAGAATCGTGTAACAAGTCTTCAAATTGCCTGCATAGTTGAGTGGAAAAGCCTGAAAAGTTGTTATTGTTACGTTAATATTTACGTGGCAAGTCTACAGTATTGGGTGCAAATTAGTTCTGAGAAAAGATAGATGGAAATTGTTAAATTTTTGTAGTAAGTATTGTGTTAAAAGTGTGTACAGATAAGTGAAAATTATGTAATGATACATGGTAAGTATGCACAATTACGTGCGCAATTTGTAAAAATACGTTAAAAGCGTGCAAATGTTGGTACTTGAAAAACCTGCATAGTTGTACATAGACATCTTGTAATGTTACGTGGTAAGATGACAAAGTTACATGCAAAGTAAATGACGCTACATAAAAAGTGAACAAAGGTGTGTGCAAAGTTATTAAAGTAACGTGAAAAGTATGCAAGTCTTCAACGCTGTGTGTAAATTTGAATGATACATGGCAATTCTGTACTTTTACGTGGCACGTCTTTAAAGTAACGTGAAAAGTATGCAAATCTTCAAGGCTGTGTGTAAATTTGAATGATACATGGCAGTTCTGTACTTTTACGTGGCACGTCTTTAAAGTAACGTGACAAGTACGTGAATTTACGTATAAAGTCTGCAAACTTGCAACAACATTTGTTAAGGTTACGTGGAAAGTCTGTATTGCCATGAATAAAATCTGCAAAGTTGCGTGTGTAGTTTTTAAGATTTTATTAAAGTAACGTGATATATGTATTGCTATGATCAAATCTACAATGTTGCATGGAAATTTGGTGAAGTTATTTTCAAATTTGTTAATCGTACACCGAAACATGTAATTTAAATAATATTCATATTTTGTTAGTCATCATAGACAGTTTGTTGGTTAACTGACAATACATTTTGTGTTTATGAAACTCAGTTACGCAAGCTGGCACCAGAAGTTGTGGGATTCAACACATGAAAATAAATGCGTAACTTTCCGCCTTAGGAAAAAGGAGTGACGAATTAACACCCTCTTTTCTTATTGAATTGAACTGTGGCAAAGACAACCCCGGATGACTTTCAATGTCACTCAAATCTTCTAAAGGTAAGCTTCGTACTAATAATGAAGGGAAACGCGATAGTTTCATGAACACAACGATTCACAAATGTTTCGACAACGTGCTCTTGTCAACTGTAGCGCTCTCTTATTTCCACAGTGTTGGTAGTTATCTCATAATGACCATTTGTAAGCACCCTCAACGAGGCAATTGGGAGACGAAAGTTCTGAACGCTATGTATGTGCAATATTCTGTATTATACTAGTATTCTAAAGCAATTTGAAAATATATTTCATAAAAATTGTTAGAAATTTGAGAAAGATGTACGCAAACTTGGGAAAGTTTACAAATTTGCTGCTGGTATTACTTTGTGGCAAGACAACAAAGATGTGTGCAAATTCGTGGAAAGTTGTATTACCAGGAGGCGAGTTTGCAAAGTTGCGCGCAATGTTCGTAAACTGACTTGGAAAACCTGCAAAATTGCGATAAAACGATGGGGTCGAGTCAGAACCTTTAAATTCGTGTGCAAACAATCAGAAATGTTGTGTGCATTGTTTGTAAAGTTATAGGAACAGCCTGCAAAGTTGCATGAAAAAAGAATTGTTAGGAGAGAGCCTGGAAATTATTATTTTGTGTGCAAAGTTTGTTAAGTAGAAAAACATAAAAAGTTGCGGGAAAGGTCGGTGAAAATACGTGGAAAGTCTGTTGATAAAGTGACAAGAAAGCCTGCAAAGTTACGTGCAAAGCAGCTATACGTAGAAAGTCTGTATTGGTATGTAGCAGGTCTCCAAATTTGCGTGCAAAGTTTCTAAGTTTGGGTGTACAGTCGGTATTACCCTTGGTTTCAAAACGTTAAACAAGTTGGAAATTCTAAAATGTGTACGTAAATGTCTGCAAACTTGTGTGTAACATTTTAAAAATACCTAAAATATCACCAATGTTGCGTGCAATGGTGGTAACGTTACACGAACAGTCAGAAAGGTTGCGTTTAAAGATTATAACATTAGTTTAATAGAAGTCTGGAAAATCAAGTGTAAAGTTGCTACATTTACGTGGAAAGTCAGAATTAACCTATAGCAAATCTACAAAGTTGAGTTCGATGTTGGTAAAAAAAACGTTGAAAGCCTGCAAAAGTGCGTAAAAAGACGGTAAAGTTACGCGGAAAGCCTGGGGAGTTGCGGAAATGATAACATTGGGTACGAACCTCGTTTGCAAGGTTGGTAAAATTACGTCAGAATTTTTTTGGATTTAATATATAATAATACAAACTCTACTTTCCGTGTTCGGGACAGGAATGACAAATAAACGCCCTGTTTTCTTCGTGAATTGGGCTCTGGAAAAGACAAGTCCAGAATAGTTTCAATGTCATTCAAAAAACCGCAACAATTCAAACACTTCTCCACAAAGTGCACGTGCTCAATTCATATGTAGTAATGTATTATTGTATTATAATTGTTGAAAATAATCCTAATGAGACTTTTGAAGATTGCGCAATATGAGAATGTTACAGGCAAAGTAGGTTAAGTTACGTGGAAGGACTGTAAAATGTTACAATCAGCTTACAAAGTTGTAACTAGGAAAATCTGCTAAGTTGCGTGCAAAATCGGTAAAGTTTTGTAGCAAGTTTGCAGGTGTGCATGCAAAGTTCGTAAAGTTACGTATAAGGAGTGTAAAATTGTTAACTGTACGTGAAAAATTTAGTAATGTCACATAACAATCCTGTAAAATATCGCGAAAACTTCTTGCGTAGCAAATCTGTAAAGAAAAGTAGGTAAAGATACGTGAAAAGCCTGCAAAGTTGTTACTATTACGTGGATTTTCTATAATGTTACTTGTCAAGTCTGCATAATGTTACATGGAAAGCCTGCAAAACTCCTACAAAAGTTGTAAATCTTACGTCGAAAGCATGCAAAGTAAACAATATTGAAATTTTGTAACTCATCGCAAACAGTTATCTGACAAATGAATATATCTTGTGTTCACGAAGGTTGTTAAATTTACATAAAAGTTATGCTATGGCAAAGACAACGTATATTTTCAATGTTATTCATAAAAGACAGATTATCGAAGTTTAATTTTCATATCAATTATAGAGGGAAACGTGATAGTTGTAAGAACGCAATCATACGGAAATTTGTTCACAAAGTGCTCAATTCATGTGCAGTGCGCCCTCATTGGCAGTTACGTTCTAACGAGCATTTGGTTCAATTAATTCTGAGCAGGTTACGTGGGGTGTTGTATTTCCAGCTGGCAAGTCTGAAAAGTTGCGTGTAATGTTTGCAAGGTAACATGGAAAGCCTGGTAAATGGCGTGTAATGTTTGCAAAGTAACATGGAAAGCCTGGTAAATGGGGCGTAAAATCGGCAAGGTTACGTGGAAAGCCTGGTAAATGGCGTGTAAAATCGGTAATGTTACGTAGAAAGCCTGCAAAGTTGCGTGCAAAGTTGTTAAAGTTGCGTCGAAAGTCCGTGATGCTATTGGGGAAGGTTTCAATGTTGCTTGCAGAGTTGTTAGAATTTTGTAGCAAGTAAGCAAGTTGCGTGCAAAGTTAGATGAAGTAACGGGGAAAGTTTGCAAAGATGCGCGCAAAACTGCTAAAATTACGTGACATCATTATGACATCATAGAATCTGTGGTCCATGACAACTATTTTAGAAGCATGTTTGGCACCAGTACATGTAAGCTACCATGTTCTAAACTTTCAGCCAATTTGAAGTTCAACTTTTGAAGTTATAGATGAAATCATTTTCTCAATTTCTGACAACAGATTCTATGTCATACTTTACCCATATCCTTTGCTGAAGAATCAAGATGGCGGACTACATAAATTGATGAAAAGTTGAATATCTAGAGAATGAAACGTGGTATAAAAAACTGTAATTTGCATGTTCTTATTATGTTGTTAGCCTTGACTTTCCCTTTAAACAGGCGAACAATATCAGGAATATCCAGCGATTTTTTTCACTTTTGTGCGAATCCTTTATACAACAACCCAATGAATATTTTGCGTTATCAAATCCAGGTTATTTTAATTTGGAAAAACACTGCGCGTGTTTCTGCATGTCGTTTGCTTGTGGACGTTTTACGCGTAAGGGACTGGACAGAAAGTACAGAGGGGTAGGTCGGTACAAGTGTTAAGGGGAGCGTTATAGTAATCTGTGCAGGCATAATGGGGAGGGTTATAGTAATCTGTGCAGACATAATGGGGAGGGTTATAGTAATCTGTGCAGGCATAATGGGGAGGGTTATAGTAATCTGTGCAGACATAATGGGGGGGTTATAGTAATCTGTGCAGGCATAATGGGGAGGGTTATAGTAATCTGTGCAGGCATAATGGGGAGGGTTATAGTAATCTGTGCAGGCATAATGGGGAGGGTTATAGTAATCTGTGCAGGCATAATGGGGAGCGTCATAGTAATCTGTGCAGGCATAATGAGGAGGGTCACAATTTGAATGACATTTTAAAAACTTAACTTATATTCATAGCTATGATGATGACCCACTGTCTGGAGATTATAATAATGAATCATCTGACAGTGAAAATGAGATTTTCCAGCCGGTACTATACACCAGATCTGGGAGAAAAACAATAAGTTAATGAAATAGTAAGTTCTTTGGCGACTAGCAATTCACCACTGGGGAAAATAATATTTATGAACGAGTACTGCCTGATTAAAACACACATATTTATTGTAGTTTAATATTATGATATAATATGTGTTTACAGTACCAATAGCCACTGTTTGTTTACATGTATTTCACCAGATTGTAAATAACATGCAAATGTACTTTCACACTACATTACTTAATACTCAGATTATTCAAAACCGATCTTTAAAATGTAATTATCTAAGGCAATGATTATCCAGTGTAAGAAGAATTAGGGCCGCCAGTACTAGTTAATAATAATATTTGATCTAGCAGTGGTGTGGCAAGAACCTTTCTACTATAAAGATACAGCCAGTTACCTATGGTTCTCCTTTCTCGTTCCACTGCAATCTTTGGCTACAAGGCAGACAAGGCCCACCCTTCCCATCACATATATTTGGCTTTCTTTGTTATAATTTTTATTTTTTTAGTGTAGGTTTAATAGTATTCTCTTCACGTGAATGTATTTACTCCAAGCTAAGGGAAACGTTTGTTGGTATGCTGGCTGTACTGGCATGCAGCCACAGGCCTGCCTATTTACGAACCAGTAGCATAATTAGTAAAAATTAGATGTACTAAATGACTCTTCCAAAATCGAAATATACGGTCAGAAATCAAACAGGATAAGCTATTCATGCATTTTTGTATCCAAACTTAGCTTCCTTTGTTCAGACATGTACAGAGATATAGATTACAGGCAGCCGACTATCTTTGACCTGATTTTGAAACCAATTGTCATGGACATCCTAACATGGATAATGTATGTACCAAATGGCTGCTAGTTTGACATATTGGATTGAATCAGTAAAACACTACATGTGCACATGTCCCAGTTAAAGTACTAGGTACATGAAAAAAATGAACAAATTTGGTCCACATGGTTCTGAAAGATAACTTCGGACGGACGGACGGACAGACTGACTAAGACCGAATTATAAGTCATCGTTTCGAACTTCGTTCGAACGGGCACTAATAACGCTGGCAGTCCCTGTTTGCCCAAACTTATATCTTGGTATGGTGTTTATTGTTTAAGTTTGTTTTGAATAATATATTTTTTTATTCAACATCACACTGATTTAATACAGAATTACACTGAAGATGATTTGGTGAATAAAAGTCCCTTTCTCATTAATATATTTATACTGTGTGGTGGACAAGCTTTGGATGAAAGGCTTCTCGATACTTTTGTAATTATTACTGGAATTCGTTAGGAGCAGTAAAGTTTGACTGAATCTCAGTGTTGTTATAAAAAACGTGTATATCTAGAGTGTGTAATAAGAATATAGATTGTATTAAAATTAATGATAGCATTGAACATATGTATCTCCTATTTTAAAGAGTGCACACGATTCAACATACAACACTTATATAAGGTGTCAGTAAAATTGTTTATGTATTACACTAATGTGGTACATTCACGGTATCTTACATTGTTCTCTTCTCAATGAGAGCTGGGCTAAATGGTTAGAGTAGAAAAGTTCTAAGCTGTGTAGTAAAACATCAATTAGTATGTGTATATAGCTTTACTACATGCACTGTCCTTACACAGAAGGGTCAAATTGAGGGTCACAATTGTTCATGCAACATTCAAGGGGGTCAGCAAATTGCATGCAAATGTTTGTGAAGGGTCATATATTTTTATGTATGCGATTTAAAAAAACGGCCTACCCCCAGTACTTTCTGTCTAGTCCCTAACTCAAACATCAAAGATGCACTGGCCACACTGACCGCGCTGTCGATTCTCTTTTCTCAAGCTACCACTGCACCAAATTCAATATTACGTTCTATTATAACTGAAATAAAAGACTTCACATTGTCCATTTTTGTGTGATAACATGGCTTGGGCGAGGATGCTCACTTAAATAACTGTGTTGACTGTTACGACTGAATTCTTTCGTCATACATTCACAAAAATAGACAGAGTGACAGACTAAATATTTGATTCGCATATTGACTGAAGCTGTTCCACATAACAAAGAGTATTTAGTCTAAAAAATCTGACGGAGTATATCTTTAGAACTATTAGTCTGACGGAGTATATCTTTAGAATTATTAGTCTGACGGAGTATATCTTTAGATCTATTAGGCGGTACATACACATTCTGAGAGCCGACTTCAAATATTAAAACGTACAACGACGAACAGCTATAAACGGCCAATAACGGCAACTTTTAGAAATTAATCTCTCAATCAAAAATATTCAACTCGACTGTATTGTCCAATATCTAAACTTCCTGGAGATATATATATATATATAATTGGTAACTGCTGGATGACCTAATTGCAATTAACTATACGGGTGTTCCAGCCGTTACCTTAATAATATATTTTAATTTTTAATTTAATATCAAAAACAAATATGCTGTCGAGTACAATCGTAACATGTTACAGATCACGTCACCATAGTAACTACACAATTGATGAAGTAACGGTTGTAGGAATTAACACATATTTTAGCCTTGACTCCACTCATGTCAGAAAACATAGTACACTTGAATACATTTTATTTAAAATGAATTGATCTAGACTAAATTTACTCTGACAATAAATGATTGTATGCTAACTAAGTCACTATGGAAACAGCCAATAACTTAAGAACAACCCATTTATATATAGTGAAGTCTAATTTGATTTAATGTTGTGAATTAAAAATATGCCAAACAAATAATTGTCATAATAAGATTTGTATCAGCTTTGATTCAATATCGTTTAATTAACGTTTGTAGTTATAATTTCAAATCGGCAATATGCTGATTTACTAATTGCCAGTACATAGTTTTATGATTAAAACAAAAATAATGGAGAGAGAATGGCAAAAACATGAATAAAATCAGTACTGTAAATAATATATCATTAAACATGTGTAAATTTATAATAATTTACATAATTGAACAGAATTTTCATTTGACATCTGACTGAAATTAAACGTTTTGATATAACATGTGGTAAACGTAGAACCAAAAGACACTAGAAACGATTCTTTTCTAGTGTATTTGGTAGAACTATGGAAACGACCAAAATGGACATTCAAGTTGTCAATGATAAAATCATGTGCTGATTTATAATTATCAAGTGTATAATTTGAGATCAATGAATGTTGAAGAATGGTCAGATCACAGGATTCCGATTTCCAAAAATAAAGGCGGTATAATGTTCTTACAACTAACGAACTTGACATGTGAGACTAATCTTTTAAGATGCAATGTTGATATGATCTACCTTAAGAAGACAGACCTTCCATAGAAAGGTTTATTTTAGCTGGATTCAGAATCAATAACACAATAAAACAAAGGAATTTAATCTCAACCAGTTGGTTTGAGGTTTAATAATGTGTCAGACTTCTGGTATTAAGGTTAAAAATAATGCAATATTTCACATGTGTTAAACTAGGTAAAATAGCAAATGTGGATGTTGGTAAAGCATACAATATATAGAATGAATCCTATATAATGTCCGAGACATTTTATCACATGAGGAGTGTGTTATCTGACTTAAAGTCCACTACCCAAGCGATCTAGGATATACATTTTAGAGAAAATTATCATGCTTTTAAAGACATTTAGCAAGTCCTGTCCGGGTCCTGTCAACAAAAAAATGAAACAATGTCCCTATTTGCACATGAAAAATGCTATAGAAGTACTAGACGTGTTGCGTGATTTTAGACCTATCGGAATCAGTGGTTATCATTCTCATAAGAACCGACGTTATGAATATTCATGATCTAACATCTGTTCTAGATAGTTAAAATGACAGTCTGTTTATCGTACCTCCCGTTATGCGGTTTGAGCCCGGCCTGGTGGTTTATGTTTAACTTGTTTTTATGTCATGAGGTGTATGTAAAAGTCCTCAAAATGTTGTGAGAGCAAAAGCATATATAAAAATATTTGCCTTTTTAACAAGAGTCGAATATTATAATATGTAAAATACCTTGCATTTGGATGCATAGAAAAAAAATTAAAGGATAATTTAGATGAACACACTTCTATATTATATTCAAAAGATATTTACAAGAACACCCTCTGAGCTGATTGGTAGACCAATTTTTGTTGCCATGGTTATGATTGACTCACCCATAATCGTTGTCATGGCTATGATTGGCTGACACATAATCGTTGTCACAGTAGTGACTGTCTGACATTCACCGCTTTAAGTAAAGCCCCATAGCCATACAAGTCTTTCATGCTTGGGCTTCAACATCACCCGTTCTCTGTATGCATGGTACGTCTGAGAGAGTAAAAACAAAAACAGGCAGACTCCAATGCCAATAAATATTAAAAATAATTTTCTGGACACGGTTCCATGATATTCATATTGATGTAAAAACACAGCTTGAAATATAGAAACAGTTTGATGTAATCCTGTGTATATATCTCCCGAATGGAAGTATCCATTGACTTCTGTGCGAATTTTTAATACGGCTCTGGCTGTCAGAATGGACCGGGCTTCTTTACCTATCGCCAAGCTGAACTGAAAACAAAGAAACAAATATATTTATTGCGTCATATATAACATCATTGTAAACTATTATTCAAAGTGCCCCAGCCGTCGTGCAACGCACGTGTAGACTCAGCCGTCGTGCAACGCACGTGTAGACTCAGCCGTCGTGCAACACACGTGTAGACACAGCCGTCGTACAACGCACGTGTAGACTCAGCCGTCGTGCAACGCACGTGTAGACTCAGCCGTCGTGCAACGCACGTGTAGACTCAGCCGTCGTGCAACGCACGTGTAGACTCAGCCGTCGTGCAACGCACGTGTAGACTCAGCCGTCGTGCAACGCACGTGTAGACTCAGCCGTCGTGCAACACACGTGTAGACTCAGCCGTCGTACAACGCACGTGTAGACTCAGTCGTCGTACAACGCACGTGTAGACTCAGCCGTCGTGCAACACACGTGTAAACTCAGCCGTCGTGCAACGCACGTGTAGACTCAGCCGTCGTACAACGCACGTGTAGACTCAGCCGTCGTGCAACGCACGTGTAGACTCAGCCGTCGTGCAACGCACGTGTAGAATGCATTTAAAAACAAACAATGTATTTTACGTTGGTCGTATACGTTGTATGGGGCCAATAAAAACACAATGCGATGTTTTAATATCAAGCCCCATTACATCCTTCGATTGATACGTACCTGGTTATCGTCTCGTGACACAAATATGACGACGTCATTACCACACTGTCCAAAATTCCACTTTTCCAACATAAATTCAGCAAACTCATGCGACGCGATTTCGAGATCACGTGATGTAACTTTTGTTGAACTCATCCTAAAGTAAGGTCAGTGAAACGATTTAAAGTAATACAAGTTTTTGCTTCAATGAAGATTTATTTATTTACAATTCAATGTCATTTGTCAACCATTGCTAATAACAACAGGGAGAACTCACATACCAAATGTATCTACATGTATATACATATAAAGTTGAGTTTATACTAGTAGTACTAAATGCCAGGCTGCATGAATGGCCATGTACAATAACGAATACGAATGTGATCAGATACTAAAACGTCATAGCTTTAAAAAGTACCCGGATGTTAAATACGTTCGTTCGTTATTCACCCCTCATGTGGTTATATTTTAAGGATTTCAAATACTTCTCCATGCTACAGTTATAATTAAAAAATTGAACCATTGCAATTTTATTTCAAATATAGTTTAGAATATACATAACTATAAATTAAGGCCGCATTGAGGTTCGCTTTAACTTCGTCAATCAAGTATTAATACCGTTATTGATATCTAGATCTCTTGTACATATTAGATTTCAACGAAAACATTAGGTATTATCTATTGAGATATACATTATTTATCACATGTAACCAATGCTACTACTATAATATAGCCTATATAAAACTAGTTATATTGACTGGGTTTTAAATTCACGAATTTGCCAGGGACACAATGAGTTATATCTTTAGTTTACATGTTGATGGTTTTACTTCTCGAAGAAAATAGCGAAATAAAAACCGAGTGGATAATTAATGCATTTACAGAATATATATCTATAGAGACACATATATATTACATGGTATAACTTACCCTCTATATAGGTATATCTCTGGTACCAATGCAACTGCTACAATGTAATGTTTGGTTTGGTTATAGCATGTTTTACATTCACAACTTGAGACATTATGTGTTTCTTCCAATAGGTTGTCAATTGCAGCAGCTGTAATCAATACAGTGTGATCAGTTAGTCAGCCTGTGACCTTGAAACATGTACTCCTGTCATGTATTTTATTTTAGGACAGATCCACAGTGATATTATGTCAAAATTTATAAATAAGCCTTTAGTTCAATTTTACTAGTATTAAAAGCAAATTGGCTTCAGTTTGTTTTAACTTATGTTTTATTTATTTTTATTTTTGTGTATCCATGTGTATTTTTTGGATTTTACTTGTAATTGTTCGGTTTTTCGTGTATCATATTTTGGCTGCCGTAGCTGGAGGCGGCTAAGGCGTTCCATTCATATTTGATACAATTTATTTAAATAAACCTAGCGCTTATCGTTACGTCAAGTGTGAGAAAATAAACCTTTCACACTAGCTAAAATGGTTTGAAGAGGAAACGAAAAGCTTGTGATTGGCGGAATAATACAAAATGAGTGAAGAGGGTGCATGTTTATGTATTTTCTTCAGAGATATTATTAGATTCATTTATCACTTTGGCTTTCTTGCAATATTGATGCGCGCTCATAGATACACTACTAGTGCGCATTGTGAAGTATAGTACATAATTCAAATATTATCGACAAATAAAAAAAGAGAAATACTAAAGGTACTTGACACAGTAATTAATTTTATTAAGTATAGAATAATCAACGCTCAATATTTACATTGTATATTTGAGACAGTTTAGTAATAATTAATTGTCTCCTGTCACTTGTTTGACATTTCATTGATTTTATCTCATTACTAACATACAATAGGTTGCTAGTTGCTACACCCTTTACTCTGATACTTATTTCAGTTAGAAATTCAGGAGGCCATAGAAAATTCAATTTAGCATACTGCATTTCGTTGATTGCTTTTTGCATACGCCTACAGTTCACTATTCACTTGCATAATTGAATATGAATGGATGAATCTTCCTACCTGAAGTTGAAATTGATATAACGGCTTACCAAACATAGTCGCACGTATACGGTGTGTTTTATTTTATAAATTACTCATTTAATTATTCGTCTTTTTGGATTACAATTGTCAACGTTTTCCATACTATTCTAATCTGATTAATAGCAATACTAGCATCATTTTCAATAAACAGGTAACGTTCCAAGAAACTGTACACTAACTAGAAATGCCCGTAATTCACGGGTTTACTTCTATACACCGCTTTATTTTGTGTAGTATTAAACGTTGTGAACGTTGCTGACACGCCGACTGACACGGTTCATAATGATGATCTTATATTCATCGATTTAACCATTGGAAGAGTTCATCATCTGGGTTGTCATGACACGATCAATAGGTGTGCATGTCAGCTACGTCTTATTTCAATATTAACCCTTGAATGATTTAAATATAATCAGGCTGACAGGCAAGCGCGATAATAAAGTCAATTCCCAGAACGAGATTCCATGTCTATTCATTCCGTCAAATTAAGGTTGATATGCAAATTACTTTTGTAAATGTCATGCCTGCTAGCAACAAATATGACCGTTAAATAATTCATTAACTAAACGTAGATGCATATTATTTTTCGTGGAAATGTTAAACATATGGCAGTTATTTGGTGCGTTTGAATTGGATAACATAATATACGATTTTTTTAATTATAGTCGAGGTTATATAGGGCGAAATTATAACCTGGTGTGTGAGACAATAAGTACCTACAACTAATAATGACCTCTGACCCTTAAACTACGGGAAGTGATTGGTAAAAACGACGACATCACAACACGAAAAATAGTAATATAGTCCGGATTTAGTAACGTTACCCAATTTGTTGTGCACAACATTAGACGACATTTGAGTGGATCATATTGTATTTTGCTAGTCTATCGACTATCAAAGACAGATGTTATGATGCCGTACTAGTAATATACGGCACTGTAGTCGATGGCTATAAACCTAAATATCTTTTGGGCACCACGATAATAAAAAAAACATCAAAAATTGTATGACTTCAAGCTCTTTTAGAATTTACATATTTTATATTGCCAGCTGATTAGATGTCATCACGTGACACGATCACATTTTCAACCCTGAGTATTATTGGAATATGAAGCGTTCATATTGTGTTAATAAAGTCATTCAGATCACCCATATTACCTTGAGATTCTGTCAAGACGTTACCGGGATCACACAACCAAGATGAGTTACCATGGTGACGCCCACAAGCTTTTAAATCGACCTGTGGATTAGGGAATGATATCTTTGTCCATGCCATTGGATTGCTCTCCGCTGTACGATACAGACTGCACCACGTTAGAGTGTATATTGCATAGTTGATTAATTCCATTACACGTAATAAACGATTCGACGTACGGTTTTGATACCGTGTCATATTGTTATTCCATCGAAAGGTCCATGGCACAATGAACATAGACTAGGCTGTTGTGGTGCAGGCCGTATAAACCTCTGAATAATGGGAAATCCCAAGAGGCGTTTGTCGCTCAGGCATCACACGACGTCCTCATGGTAACCGGCACACTGCTCTGCATACAGATAAAGCTCACATCTCTACGATCAGCAGTTGCAATTGCCGTGACGGTTGGCTAATGGTGGACAGTCACACCTCTTTTCCCTCAGTTATCTCAATTATTCAACTTCATCGTGGTGGTTAGTTGCCATAGAAACAAGGTGCTGGAAAGTGAAATGTAATTTGTAAAATATGAATTGGAAAAAATCCATTATTTAGTATCGATTGGTTGAAATTTAATAATTTCCAATTATCCTAAAATGCATGAATGCCCATGGAATTTTCACAATATCGGGATGACTACGACATATTAATTATTGCACGTATCCGTGTTAGATTTATATTGAGCAGTGTGAGCCCTCTCAGCACAACAATAACATACAACGCACCGATGAGACAATGCCAGTTTAGCAAATTCATTATTTTGTGTTGTTCTGTCATGAATTTTCTTAGTTGAATAATTACTACACTTCGTTCAGTTATATTCGCCAGATAAATTAGTATTTAAAAGAAACCAGGCTGATTCTTACCTCGCATGACTACACGTAGTATGACGATGAACTAAATATGCCCGCAAGACATGTCGTTAATTTGGCCGTTGATGAATAACTTGCATACCCCTATTTTATAGCAGCGTTTCAGACTGCAACACGAACCTAGCATACATTTCTTGTCAATACATACCGCCGGGCACACCAGAGTTCGTTGCCATAGCAACTCCCAAATTAGGGATATTTACACAAGCATATAGTACGTACAGTGGCAAAGTAATACTATGGTTAATATATTCATGGAGTGTAAAATATCTCGGATAAAATGATAATTCAAGTCTGCATTTAATTAGACCGCCATGATAACGATTAGTGCACATTGACCGAACTGAACAGATACTGTTTATTTGTTCGTTCGTTTGTTCTTAGTATTTTATGCTATATAAACATTTCTCTGTGACAAATTAAATTTGTTTCTTCAAAATCTCATATATTGATACTGTTCATTACGCTGAATTATAATATTATCCGTCAAGAGCCCTGGAAGCTGAATTTAAATACAAAGCGCTGATGTGTCCATGTCATTGCGACACGCAACAATACATTTTATCCAAATCATGCGAGGAATGATATAAGAGAATTACATATTAAATTAGGAAGGGGGTAACACTAATACGCATGGATTTGCTGTAAGTCAGTCATTCTTGACTGCTCTTGTTGTTTATTCGGTCATCCATTGAAATGAAATTCTACATTTCAGAATCTTCATTTCAACTGTGTCAATGTCACATATCAGTGACATATTGCTTTTGAATGTATTTGTAAAATGTTTCTTTTGATTTGTTTATATTACTAGGTAAAGCATTGTTAATATTTTTGAAGGACGATTAAATAAAGATGTCTAGAGCTACACAAGATCGAAAATTAGATTTTAAAAAGTTGACGTGGATTAGATAGTTGAGTAAATAACTAAATATTACCAATTATAACCCACTAATAGTTTTATTCGTTTGTTCATCGTTAGCAATAAAACAGCAGGTTACATGTTTCCATGCAATACAATGCAATAGTTTAGTTTATCGTATACGACAGTTCAATCTATTCCCAACGCTAATATTCTATTTGTGCATG